ACAGTACGCAATAAATAACACACAGTAGAAAATGACTCATAAACCCCAAAGCCTGAACAATAAACCCTCAATAATCAACAATAAACATTAAACCCTAAACCCTAAACCCTAAACCCTAGAACCTATATCCTGAAGCCTAAACCCTGAACCCTAAATTAGGGTTTGGCAGCCCTGCAGAAAAGCGCGCAGCTGCTTCGTCGCACAAAGCCACCCCAGGCCACATAGGAGGGCTCAGAAGCATATTAGGGTTTAGGGTTTAGGGTTTAGGGTTTAGGGTTTATGCACTCCTGCGTCCAGCAAACCCGCGGAAACAAGAGCCCCAAACCTCGCCAGAGGGTCTTCGTGTTTATCTCGAATTGTCTTTTTGAGGGTTTCGCGAAACCCTGCTGCTGCTGCAGTGTTTTGGAGTTGGTAGAGAAGGCCGAGGCCAATGAAGGCTCCTAAGAAATAAAAACAAATAATTAATTAATTAAATTAATTAAATTAATTAATTTAATTAATTAATTAATTAATTAATTAAATTAATTAATTTAATTTAATTCATTTATTCATTTTGTTTTTTTATTTCGCGAATGAGCGACTTTTCCGCGTTCGAAACTGCGGATTTCGAGCTGCGGGCGCGCAAACCCTAAACCCTAAACCCTAAACCCTAAACCCTAAACCCTAAACCCTAAACCCTAAACCCTAAACCCCTAAACCCTAAACCCTAAACCCTAAACCCTAAACCCTAAACCCTAAACCCTAAACCCTAAACCCTAAAACAAAACCCTAAACCCTAAACCCTAAACCCTAAACCCTAAACCCTAAACCCTAAACCCTAAACCCTAAACCGCAAACCCTAAACCCTAAACCCTAAACCCTAAACCCTAAACCCTAAACCCTAAACCCTAAGCTGACCACTGCAGGCGCTTGCCTTGGCGCACGAAGTCGACGGGATCTGCTGTTAGGGTTTGGAGAGCATCTGCTGCTTCTTTGTTGCCGCTAGCAGCAAGAGAAACCCCAGCAGCAACAGCAGCAGCATGCCGCACGTGGGGGTTGTGGCTGCTGCACAGCAGCAGCACAATCCGCAGCAGCTGCAGCAGCAGCAGCAGCAGCAGCAGCAGCAGCAGCAGCAGCAGCAGCAGCAGCAGCAGCAGCAGCAGACAGGCGCAGCAGGGGGCTGGTCAACGCAGGATCCGGCTCTGCTGCTGCTGAAGCGCGAGAGAGCTCGCGCCCTAAACCCCAAACCCTAAACCCTAAACCCTAAACCCTAAACCCTAAACCCTAAACCCTAGATGGTGTTTTTGTGAGCAACGAAGTGCTGCCGGGAGGCCGCGCAGCCTCAAGCGTGTCGCTCGCAGGGCTGCGAGGGCCCGCGGCTTATTCCCTAGGGTTTAGGGTTTAGGGTTTAGGGTTTAGGGTTTAGGGTTTACCTCTTCTTTGTGAGAACACAAAACAAACACTAAAGACAAAACCGCCGCTCTGCGCACATCGTCGCTGACGTCGGAGACGGCGATGTGCAGCAAACGCTTCACTGCCGATTCCTGAAAAACCCCAAACCCTAAACCCTAAACCCTAAACCCTAAACCCTAAACCCTAAACCCTCAACCGCAGCTTCGACGCGGTTCAAGTTGCTGCGCAAAAAGAGCCCGCGCGCGCTCTGCCAGACGCTATACGGTACACCCCCCTAAACCCTAAACCCTAAACCCTAAACCCTAAATCCCAAACCCTAAACCCTAAACCCTAAACCCTAAACCCTACCTTTCCCGTGTTGCAGTAGGCAAGGCCAATGGCGAAAGCGCCGCCGTAGCGAATGAGCGAATCTGCTTCCGCCAGGCACTGCTCTATCATCTCATCCGCCTGCGCAAACCCTAAACCCTAAACCCTAAACCCTAAACCCTAAACCCTAAACCCTAAACCCTAAACC